CTCAGCTGGAATTCCATCACTTCCACTAGTTTTCTTCATAGTAATGCTTCCTAAGGCCCATTTGACTTCACACTCCAGGATATCTGGCTCTAGGTTAGTGATTATCTGGGTCATTAAGACTTTTCTTGTATAGTTACTCTGTGCGTTCTTGCCATTTCTTAATATCTTGTTTCTATTAGCTCCATACCACTTCTGTTCTTTATTATGCCCATCTTTGCATGAAATGTTCCCCTGGTATCTCTAATTCTCTTGAAGAGATCTCTAGTCATTCCCATTCTATTGTTTTCCTCTATTTCTTTGCATTGATCGCTGAGGAAGGCTTTCTTATCTCTTCTTGCTATTCTTTGGAACTCTGCATTCAGATGGTATATCTTTCCTTTTCTCCTTTGTGTTTAGTTTCTTTTCTTTACTCAGCTATTTGTATGGCTGCTTCAGACAACATTTTGCCTTTCTGCATTTCTTTTTCTTGGGGATGGTCTTGATCACTACCTCTCGAACAATGTTATGAACCGCAATTCACAGTTCTTCAGGCACTCTATCAATCAGATCTAATCCCTTGAATCTATTTTTCACTTCCATTGTATAATCGTAAGGGATTTGATTTAGGTCATACCTGAATGGTCTAGTGGTTTTCCCTACTATCTTCAAGTTAAGTCTGAATTTGGCAATAAGGAGTTCATGATCTGAGCCACAGTCAGCTCCCAGTCTTGTTTTTGCTGACTATATAGAGCTTCTTCATCTTTGGCTGCAAAGAATACAATCAATCTGATTTCAGTACTGGCCATCTGGTGATGTCCATGTGTAGAGCCTTCTCTTGTGTTGTTGAAGAGAATGTTTGCTACGGCTAGTGCGTTCTCTTGGCAAAACTCTGTTAGTTTTTGCCCTGCTTCATTCTGTACTCCAAGGCTAAATTTGCCTGTTACTCCAGGTGTTTTTTGACTTCCTACTTTTGCATTTCACTCCCCTATAATGAAAAGGACGTCTTTTTTGGATATTAGTTCTAGAAGGTCTTGTAAGTCTTCATATAACTGTTCAACCAGTTGGGGCTAGACTTGGATTACTTCTCTCATGGTACCCTCTAACTTGAGATAATTATATTAGCTTCCACAACCAAACTCTCTAAATAAAGTGAGAGAGTTACGTCAATCTTCACAAGTCCTTCTGACAGATAATGGGAATGGGAGATAATCCTCCAAAGTCTGAAGGTTGGGTATTGGGACGTGCTGGGAAAACTCACCAAAATCATCATGAACTGGTTTTCTTTTATGGCACCACAGCATCCCAGGAAACCCAGAATCATGATGACAGCACCCACAAAAATTAGCATATTCACAGCAATAAAGGGGCTAAGGTTAGCATCCCCAGGAACAAGAATCTGAAAATGAAAAAGAGATTAATGACAGAAAATTCCTTTTCTTGATGTTTGTTATTCAACAAATATCCACTGGGGAACTACTATGTGCCAGACCCTGTTATAAGACATGGAGATGCCATAGTGATGTAAACAAGCAAAAATTCATGCCTTTAAGGAGCTTACCTTCTATTGAGGTGTTACTTATCCAATGTTTCCAATTTTATGCCTTTTGAAGCTTTATATTGGATGGTGGATAAAAGAAATGCAATAGGCTTTTCAAACAAAAATTTTTTAAAGTTTAGAAGGATCAGTAGTTTTATCCATGATGTGATCTTTGATTTGTGTAGTTTGTGTTTTATCGGAGAAGGCAATGGCACCCCACTCCAGTGTTCTTGCCTGGAGAATCCCAGGGACGGTGGAGCCTGGTGGGCTGACATCTATGGGGTCGCACAGAGTAGGACACAACTGAAGCGACTTAGCAGCAGCAGCAGCAGCATATATATGTTTTTATGGTAGTTTAGTTAAATTATAAAGCCTAAGTTCCTCAAACTACTGATAGACTCAACAGTATGAATAAATCTCTAAAACATTATGACTTTTATGAAACAGACTTAGAGACATAGAGAACAGACTTGTGTTTGCCAAGGGGGAGGTGGGGTGGGAGGGAATGGAGTGGGAATTTGAGGTTAACAGATGAAAACTACTATATAGAGAATGAATAAACAACAAGGTCCTACTGTATAGCACAAGGAACTGTATTCAATATTCTGTGATAAACCATAATGGAAAAGAATATTTTAAAAGAATGTGTATATATGTACAGTATAATTAAATCACTTTTCTGTACAGCAGAAATTAACATAACATCATAAATCAACTATATTTTGATTTTTAAAAAAATATCCAGATGGGGAATTTAAAAAAAGAGTAGGTAAATCCAACCTATGATGATAGAAATCAGAGCAGTGATGGACTTTGAGCATAGTATCAAGTAAAGAGGGAACAGATTGCAAAGGGATATGAGGAAACTTTCATGAGTTAATAAAAATTCTTTTCATTTTGATTGTAATAGTGATTACAGAGGTCTATACATTTGCCAAAACAAACCAACCATGTTTTAAACTAAGAAAATAAGTCTAGTTCCTGATATTCCATATCAAGTCTATCTCATTCCCAGGAAGTATAGTCTATAGAGTCTTCCAGAAACTCTTTTGCCTGACTATTTAGAAATGGGATATTGAGGAAAATATCTTAGGTCTCTTTATGATGGGCCAGACTACCAATCCTACATAATTTGGTCTTCTCTTCTCCACATCCATAACCTTCATCACTATCATAACATCTAGCCTCAATCTATCTCTTGCTCTACAGATATGACCAGAAGCAAATCACAATGAAACAATGAAACTCTGTGCCTGTGTTACATATGAGTGCTGTGCACAGCCCATTCATCTCTCAGGAGCTTTATCTGCTGGGTTATTTCTAGGCAGACCACTAGTTATTACACTAGTTAAGAGGCTGCCTTCTGGGATCTGCGGCACAGCATGCAGATGTGTGCCTTTAACAGGAAATATGAAGAAACAAACGAACACTACTACTCATGATCTTTACATTTTTGAAGACTTTTAAAATCAATCCATGGCCTAGACAAAGCCTTTGTTTGACAGTCAGAAAGAAGGAATGTGCTGAAGATTTAAGCACACTAAAAACAAAATCTATATTCTATTCAGAGTCTTTATAAATTAGTTTCTAACCATGAATTAGTTTCTAACTTTACTGGGGTCAAGTTTCCCACTTATGAAAGGAATTAGGCCAGCCTCTGTGAATACCCAATGCTTTCTTTGAAATTAAGAGTTGATGCTTACAGATACTGTTTTAATTTGCATATTTAGAAAGCTTGGTTATGTCCTAAAGATTTTTTTTGCCTCTTTTTCAGGCTTTTCTGGTTTCTTTTTTTTTTTTTTTTTAATTGATTTGCTTGTTAAGATTGGAGCTAAGAAGTCAGTTTTGTAGTAACCAGGCATGGCACCTGAGTGAAGACAGATAACAACCCAAAAAAGCAGCACCAGGAAACCTGGTCTACCCACTCACCATCAAAGTTTGCTTCATGACATTGTAGCCAGTCAGGAAAAGCTTAAGCTATCCAAGACAGTTGAAGCTTCACCAGCTGAGTTATCAGTACTTTGGTCAGACAACACAGATACAGAAACAGTAGGTCAGATAGCTGCCAGTGAGACGTGAAGAGCGTGCTGTTGCCGTTGTTTAGTCATTCAGTTCTGTCTGACTCTGCGACTCCACAGACTGTAACCTGCCAGGCTCCTCTGTCCATGGCGTTTTCCGGGCAGGAATACTGGAGTGGGTTGCCATTTCCTTCTCCAGGGGATCTTCCTGACCCAGGGATGGAACTCACATCTCTTGAGTTTCCTGCCTTGGCAGGCGGGTTCTTTACCACGGAGCCACCTGGATAGTGTGGCCAGCACTTATGTGGCAGGTAATGAAGCATTTCTACGAGCCTGATCTGGGCATAGTGACCCACGGCCAACATGGCCAGAAAGCAATGTGCTGGCTACCTGATGATGACTGTCTTAAGACCAGCCCAACAAGTGGCTATTCTTATTTAGAAACAAAATGAACATTTGAGTTCAGGTGTTTGTTTCGGGGAGAGATGTGTGTGCATGGTGGCTCAGTCGTGTCTGACTCTCTGCGACCCCATGGACTGTAGCGCACCAAGCTCCTCTGTCCATGCGATTCTCCAGGCAAGAACACTGGAGTGGGTTGCCTTTTCCTCCTACAGGTGATCTTCCTGACCCAGGGATTGAACCTGCATCTCCTGCATTGATTAGCAGGCAGATTCTTACCACTGTTCCACCTGGGAAGCAGTCGGGGCAGAGACAGTAGAGTTTTAAAAGCTGTTTAGCCTCCAACTAATAAAAATAAATGGAAAAAAATAAGAAATAAAAAAAAATAAAAGCTGTCTTGGAAGAACACTGTCTCTGTGTGTCTTCGGATGAGGGGGGATTTCTATAGGAAAGGACATGACAGAACCTTGAAGAAGAAGGCTCAGGGTCCCCTTTCAATTATAAGGGATCTCCTAGGATGGCTGCATGTTACACTTTGCCTCATGCAGGGCTGAGTTCATCCTGAGGGAGAACAAGGCATCTCTAGGGGACACTTTAGCACCCACGGCTTTGCTAAAAGATGTGCACAAAGACATCCTGGTGTCCTTCTTTTCTGTGTTTGCTCTCAGGTCTCCCCTTCTAAAACTTTTCCTGTTTTTCCACTAGTAAAATTTGGTTCTCTGCACAGTCTTGATTCTTTGTCACTGACTTTGAATAAATATACGTCAAGCTGGTTAAAGTTGTCCTGGAAGATACTGCCTTTTGTTTAGGGATAGAGACAGAGTGCAAGAGTCAAAATATAACTCAAGATGATGTCTAGCTCTATTAGCTCATTCCTATCCCCAGATTTGGAGTAACACTGTCTTAAGGACAGCTCTTTAATACATTCAGTGTGTGTGATTTCTGAGACTAAACACCAAGTTTGTTTACCAGAAGGACTGGGGGGAAATACAGCATTTGCATATCTACCAGAAACACAATAAAATTTTAAAATAAAAGACAGGTTGCACACACATCTTTTAAAAAGGCCAAATCACCCTCTAAATCAATGGGTGTTCATGTCTAAGCTTATTTATGAGTTCCCAAGTCAGACATCAGCTTCTCAAAGATTCTATGCATTTTTGAATACTGTTCTTGGCTCAAATTTCAGAATCCTAGGACATAAAGAAGTCACCATTATATTTATCAGCATAAAACAAAGCCCAGATGGAATCAAATATTACTGACTCATTACCACAGTTGTCTCCCCCCCAGTGTCCTCACCATGGCAGGGCTCAGGATGAGCACGTGCCTAATCACCACTGTGCTTTTCTGGGTTCTCTAATGGTAGAAAGCAAATTTTAAAGGAAAGGAAAGAAAGGGAAAAGAAAGAAAGAGGGAAGGAGGAAAGAGAAAGAGGGAAAGAAAGAAAAACAGGAGAGAAACAGTGAGAGAGAGAGAGAAGGTGAGAAAAAGAAAAGGAAAGAAAGGTCCAGACAACCCACCCATTTTAGGAAAAGAATCAGAAGAGATGTCAACCTGCTTTTTCTTTCAACTAGGTTATTATGTCTAATAGCATATAATTGCACCATGGTCAAATAAGTTTTAATAGATAATGCATTACCTGAATTTTTGTTTTAAGAATATCTTAATACTTATTAGATAGGAACCGATATTCCTCTTAAAGAGGAAACTTTACTTGGGCAAACACTTTGAAATGGCCCTAGAAGTAGAAAATGTGAGATTGAACAGTGGCGAGAATCCAGATAACAGGGCACAGGGTAACTGCCCTGCAAGATGTAAGAATCATAATCTCAAGGGTGGAACATCCCTAAGAAGAAGGGAGACAGGAGAAAGGAAGCAGGGAAGTCAGGAAATGGTGCTGGCACCTGTGCTGACTAAAATTGACAGAACAACCCCACACTCTTTCCACACTGTGACACTGGTACAAACAGAAACCATGTGTATGGAAATCAGACTAGAGCCAGAATTAACTGTATGAACTAAACTTCCTCCAGACCTGCAGAAATCCTGATAAGTGCTTTGGCAGCCATGGAATGGCATGTGGTGGGAGAAACGGGATCCTGCTAATCTTATCTTGATGTCAGAAAGTGGGACATCACCAGTCAACTGCTCTGTTACATGGCTATGACCAGCCTTTTACTGTTATAAGGGATTACCCTCAACACCAGCTGCCCCAAGTCATTACAACTATCTTTGAATTTTGCTGCCTTTAAAACAGTTTAAAAAAGAAATAAAACAGATTCAAGTAATTCCTCTCCAAGAGGACATCTTACCATCTTTCCTTTTGGAGCAACACCTCACCCTGGAAATCAGCCAAATTAATTGTCAATATCTTGTACAAAAATTTCTCTTGGTTAGACAGGCAAAGCAGTCTATATCCTGCAGATAATTTCAGGCCGCACTTTAACAAATAGCAAAGCAGGCTGATTCTACTTTGGCCCCTTCTCACCTCTCCTGTCAACACAATCTTCCTGTTTGGGGAATAACACCTTCTCCGTTCTCCAGAAGGACTCATTAATGCCCAACACAGTGCCAGGCATAGAGTGCATAACCTTGATTAATTAATTATAAAGTCATTTAGCACAAATAATTCTGTGAGGCAGTTTGGAAAATGCCATAAAAACATTTTATTATTACTATCATTACTTTCCTCACTATACGAGAAATAAACTACTTTGTCAGTGGTGTAACATATTTATTTACCTCTTGACCAATTTTCCCTGCTCGTATCGAAATAGCTATGGAAAGGATAATGGCACCACATAGCTGCAGGAAAAAAAGGGAAAAAACATGTTAGAATGTGCCTAAGATAAACTAAAACTCTAATTCCATACAACCCTAGCCATCTGGTTACAATGGTTTATCATTAATTCTACCATTATAACCTAAAAGACATAAATGAGGAATATTCATGTATAGATAGTTGCTTGAATGTTCCACTGTAGTTGCAAAGTTTGATAAGAATAATCTGTTTCCCATCCACAGTCATTCATAGGTCTAGGACAAGAAGTCATCTTCACTATGGGGGACAGGAAAGATGGTTTTCCATATTTCAACTCTGTTTTTGCTGGATTTTAGCATGCAAAGGGCTACCAGGTGGCTCAGTGGTAAAAAAAAAAAAAATCCACCTGCCAAAGCAGGAGACAGAAGAGACGTGGTTTCAATCCCTGGGTCAGGAAGATCCCCTGGAGTATGAAATGATTACCTGCTCCAGTATTCTTGCCTGGAAAATTACATGGACAGAAGAGCCTGGTGGGCTAGAGTCCATGGGGTCACAGAGAGTCAGACATGACTGAGCACACACAGGCACACTCACACAACATACAAAAGTTATGTCATAACAATTTTAAGAAAAAATATCCTTATTGGACCTCTGGGCTTGTCTCTCAGAAGCTGTCTTAGACCTAAAAAGAAGGGTGTAACTGATCATCACCAAACATTCCTACAAGATTCAAGCCAGATATACAGGCGACAGTAGAACATTTGACAAAATTTGCAGTTAAGCAACAACAGTTTACAACACTGTACCCAAACAAACTCTTAAAAATAAGCTCTTTTAGGTAGTAAAGCTTACCCAGAGAAGAGGAACAATGAGGAACAGTATTTAAAGTCTTAAATTCCTATAATGACTGTACCAGATTATTTAATTTGGACCAAGGCCAACACATAAAATGTGAAACACATTTTACTTTATTGTAAGAAAAAACCTTGTCTTTTAGGTTTGGGTTTTTTTGTTTTGTTTGTTTATGATATAGATGTTGTAGCCTTAAAAAAATCAAAGATCTATTATTAGACAGAAATGTTAAGAACAAGCTTGATAACCGACAGACACAGCAGTAGACCTTAGAGGAGTTTCCAGACTATTCTGGCCTCAAGGTGCTCTGACAGAGAAATGTCTAAGTCCTCCAAACCCTGCGACCTGGTAGCATCATTGTTTTCAGGCACGCTTGGGCCGTATGCTCCAAACCGCCAAAGAGCTGTTTCACTTAATGGCTTCTCATTACATTTGGTGTGGAAGCAGACTCAGGGCTTTGTGAAAGCAATAGTAAGTGCAATGAGTGGCTAAACCTATGCTCCCTAATAGATCTCAAAAATCATCTAGATTCAAACATTTCATTTCAACAAAGAAACTGGAATCTCCCAAGAGATAACTGTCGCATGGCGAAAATCTAGCACCACTCCAAATTTAGTCCTGCCCTTACTTCAAAACAACAAACACAATGGAAAACCAAAGCTTTCTACTAAAGAACTCTTTGCCAAAGCCCCAAATAACCTATACAAGTTAAGTATCTTACAGGTGTGCACACGCACACACTGTAAAACACTAAACATTGAGAAAACAGCTTTAGAGTCTGAAAACCCTTCTTACTGCTTTTCCTTCTTTCTGCTAAATCCTAATTTCATTTGCAGATGAAGACCAATGCTCATGTTAGCTGTTCTCATTAATAAATAAATCTGTAAGAATTTATGTCAAATGATAATGAGACCCTCTGGGATTTTTAGTAATTTTATAACAGTTGGATTTTTGTTTGTTATTTCAATTTGTTGACTGATATTTTTCTTTCTTTCTCTTTTTCTCCCTTTCACAGGTAGATTTACATTAATGGTCTTAATAGTCACTCTGACTTTCAGCTTCAACTGAAAATAACATTAATTATATGAATAGTTATGATTAGATTTACTTGACTTTTTAAGGAAATTATGCATGAGAAAATTTTAAGAACTGTGTCATAATTTATTAATTAAATTAATTAAATGTAACTTTTATATCAAGAAAAATCAATCTAGAGTCATGATTGATACTAACTTGTTTTACCCCAATTGTTATAACACTGACCTTCAGGTTCTTAGAGCCTTTTCTCCAGTTTGACTTTAAGCATTCACTCTTGATCTTTTTGTAATGTCTTAAATAATTTGGAGTATGAATTAAAAAATAAGCATCCAGGTCTGTCCTCCTGTCTGTTATTATGGTTGTAAAAGGAAATGAGGTGATATGTTGGGCCCCCAGGCCCCTGAAGTGGACACTGCAGGACTTACTAGGCCTTCTTCACCCACCTCACCCTCCTTTTTGGTTTCTCTCTGAAGAAAGTCATTTTTATTGCCACTCAGCTCTCCTGAGACATCTTTCTTTTTATGAAATTAGGATGCAGTTGGTCTGAATCAGCATTCTAAGAGACTAGGTAATTGACACTTGGTTACAAGTATGCTATGGACTGAGTTATGTGCCCCCTAACTTTCTATGTTGAAACCCTAATCCCCAATGTGGCTATATTTGGGGTATGTACCCAAAGTGGAGTGAACACCTCCCTCTAGCCCCACAGATTCCTTGTCCCATGAGGATGGAAAAGGGAGACCTGGTAGCATCATTGTTTTCAGGCACGCTTGGGCCGTATGCTCCAAACCGCCAAAGAGCTGTTTCACTTAATGGCTTCTCATTACATTTGGTGTGGAAGCAGACTCAGGGCTTTGTGAAAGCAATAGTAAGTGCAATGAGTGGCTAAACCTATGCTCCCTAATAGATCTCAAAAATCATCTAGATTCAAACATTTCATTTCAACAAAGAAACTGGAATCTCCCAAGAGATAACTGTCGCATGGCAAAAATCTAGCACCACTCCAAATTTAGTCCTGCCCTTACTTCAAAACAACAAACACAATGGAAAACCAAAGCTTTCTACTAAAGAACTCTTTGCCAAAGCCCCAAATAACCTATACAAGTTAAGTATCTTACAGGTGTGCACACGCACACACTGTAAAACACTAAACATTGAGAAAACAGCTTTAGAGTCTGAAAACCCTTCTTACTGCTTTTCCTTCTTTCTGCTAAATCCTAATTTCATTTGCAGATGAAGACCAATGCTCATTTTAGCTGTTCTCATTAATAAATAAATCTGTAAGAATTTATGTCAAATGATAATGAGACCCTCTGGGATTTTTAGTAATTTTATAACAGTTGGATTTTTGTTTGTTATTTCAATTTGTTGACTGATATTTTTCTTTCTTTCTCTTTTTCTCCCTTTCACAGGTAGATTTACATTAATGGTCTTAATAGTCACTCTGACTTTCAGCTTCAACTGAAAATAACATTAATTATATGAATAGTTATGATTAGATTTACTTGACTTTTTAAGGAAATTATGCATGAGAAAATTTTAAGAACTGTGTCATAATTTATTAATTAAATTAATTAAATGTAACTTTTATATCAAGAAAAATCAATCTAGAGTCATGATTGATACTAACTTGTTTTACCCCAATTGTTATAACACTGACCTTCAGGTTCTTAGAGCCCTTTCTCCAGTTTGACTTTAAGCATTCACTCTTGATCTTTTTGTAATGTCTTAAATAATTTGGAGTATGAATTAAAAAATAAGCATCCAGGTCTGTCCTCCTGTCTGTTATTATGGTTGTAAAAGGAAATGAGGTGATATGTTGGGCCCCCAGGCCCCTGAAGTGGACACTGCAGGACTTACTAGGCCTTCTTCACCCACCTCACCCTCCTTTTTGGTTTCTCTCTGAAGAAAGTCATTTTTATTGCCACTCAGCTCTCCTGAGACATCTTTCTTTTTATGAAATTAGGATGCAGTTGGTCTGAACCAGCATTCTAAGAGACTAGGTAATTGACACTTGGTTACAAGTATGCTATGGACTGAGTTATGTGCCCCCTAACTTTCTATGTTGAAACCCTAATCCCCAATGTGGCTATATTTGGGGTATGTACCCAAAGTGGAGTGAACACCTCCCTCTAGCCCCACAGATTCCTTGTCCCATGAGGATGGAAAAGGGTAAGAGTAGGGCTAAAATACCATCACCTCAGATTCCAGTATTTTTAAATTAAAAAGCAATTTGATTGTTGGAGTTGGAAAAACAGCATTAATTGAATTATTATTGTGTGTCAGTCCTTAGTCACAAGCTTTCATAGAGTAGATTAGTTAATCTTCACCACTGATCCTACCACATAAAATTACCGGCATTGAACAAGTGCAGAGACCGAAGCAAAGAAAACTCAAGCATAGGTCTTTACAACTGTTGCTGTTACACAAGATATCTCATCTAGAGATTATAGGTCCCACCACTATGCTGATGGGAAGAAAAAGGCCTTTTCAGGGAAGTTAGAAACATCTAACTGAAATCCATAACTACAGAAAGACTTCAATATCAGGTAAATAGGCCACAAAGCAATGTTGATTCAAGATTTGCATCTCAGTCTGTTAGTTTCTTCAAAATCTACTTTCTTTCCATTCTTCTAACTTATGATAAAAGAATTTCTGCCTTACCATAATTCTTGCCATCTTATTTCTTCTTCTGTTTCAAAATCCAACATTAGAATTTACTTCTCACTATGCAGAGTGGTTTCATATCGCTATCTCATAAAAATGCCTATATGATAATGGCTGAAATATCTGTTCCTTAAACATTTATTCAGCATTATTCTGAGTTCCTTGTATATATGAACCCATCTAAACTTTACAACAACCCGTGAAGTTAAAACTATTACTATTCCCATTTTATAGATAAGGAATTGTAAAGCTCAGAGCGGTTGAACAATTTCCCCAGAGTCACAGAACCAGTGATGAAAAAAATTGAGGTTCAACTCTTGACCTCTGGGCTCCAGGACCTTTGTCATTGTTACAGTTCCAAGCTAACTGCATAGTGGTAGGCAATCATTATATTTTCAAAGTTCACACGTTTTCATCATGGTCAAGTTTTAACTTGGGGGACTTCATCAATCAGAATGAAATATAATTGCACCTTATTTTTCAGGGA